ATTCTATTCCCCTGGGAGTCTTCGATGCCAACATTTTGTGAAAGATTTCACACAAATTTTGGGAATTCTAGCAGGATTTTTTAAGATTTACAAAATGTTTCAAGAAATTTAAAGATATTTGTCAACGATTCGAAGTTAATTTAATGAATTTTAATTGAAATTTGAACGAATTCAACGAAATTCCCATTTCTGACACCAGTGTAGCGTATTGGGTGTATATAATCCCACTTCCGACACCAGTGTAGCGTGTTTTGTGTGTCACGCTACAAATAAGTTCACGCCGTCGTTTGGCATAGCGAGTTTATTCCTTCGCTCATTTACACACACTTTACAATCATTCCCGTCTGCAGTGTCACAATCACTGCTTACAATAACTCGGCGATGCTGGACTATCTCTGCTGGCGGTTATCCCAAGACTGACTTCCAAGATGGCTCGATCACGACTGGCTTCTTAGCTGGCTCGACGAAGACTGAAGACTTCTCGTCGAAGCTGGGCCTTTATAACCTTGGCCGCTGCTATGCAAATGAACCCTGTTATAGCAGTGGAAACGTTACATTGTTGGCTCCGCGTTTCCTACGCAATAACCCATTGTTATAACCATGGAGACTCCTGTTAGAACTACAATGGAGCAATTGTTTCCAATGCAACGGGCTATTCTAGCGTTTCCATAGAAGTTACTCTTCTGGGCTGCCGATACGTTACAGTATATAATTTGAACGTAATATTCTTTGAGTGTTTCAATTCAAAATAAAGAATTACGAACAATTTATAAAATATTTCACTCTAAATTAAGGAATTCCTTGAAATTTCTTATAATTACTCAATTAATTAATGAAATACAATAATATGTTCCGTGATTCTAAGTTAATTAAAAGATTTTAAACAAATTATGAAAGAACTCAACATATTTCATGAAATTTTTTCCGAAAATTTTTGTCGATTTCAAGTTAATACAAGGAATTGCAGACAATATGTGAAAGATTTCATCTTATTAAATGGATTTCTGTCAAAATTATTGATGATTTCTACATTATATTATTCTACATACATTATTCTATATTCTACATTATATTATTATAACCAAAAATTGCTGAGTGAGCGAGCTATTCTTGCGGCCAAGAAGAAAGACGTCTACGAACTTAACAATATGATTCAGTCTAACATTCAATGCGAGGCAGTCACATACAAGTCCGTTGACACTGTTGTGGAAGTAGATGAAGCGGTTAATTATCCAAGAGAATTTTTGTAATTCACTCGATCTGACAGGGATACCACCGCACGTACTGCAATTGAAAATAGGCGTGCCAATTATATGTTGCGAAATATCTACCAGCCAAAGCTATGCAACGGCACGCGGCTTGCAGTAAAAGAAATTATTGAGCAACATCGTAGAAGCAATAATCTTGACAGGACTTTCAAAAGTGAAGATGTCCTCATTTCTCGAATTCCTATGATTCCAACTAAGAGACTGCAATTCCCAATTCGATTGGCGTTTGCAATCACCATCAACAAACTCAAGGCCAATCTTTAGAATTGTGTGGTTTAGATCTAGACACGGATTGCTTCTCACATGAACAATTATATGCTGCGTGTTCTAGAGTCGGCAAACCAGACAATCTCTATATCTGCACAGAAAATGGAACAACAACAAAATATTGTATACCCGCAAGCATTGTGAAATTAAACATATTAGAAACGTGCGCTTTCTCTTTTCTTTCTTTTCCATTTAACCAGACTGAGCCACAGCAACGCGTGGCCGGGTACAGCTAGTTATTAATAAGAGTGGATTGCAGGACATGTTCTATCTTCTGGGAGTGATACTGTGTAGCCCACATAAGATCAACTGACATTTCAGAGGTTGAAGACCTAGGCAAGCAAGAACACAGCACGAAGCAGAAAACAATGGTTGGTAGTATTAACATGGCAGACGACAAAGCAGTATAGATTCAGATTACTTGGTTCACCTGTTACAGTACCCAGACTGCTTACCTTAGTATCCCTATGCTCAAAGAAGTCCTGTCACACTCTCTCTGCATGTGGCTGGAGAGCACTGTCAGCAACAGGTGCACACACTCAGTAGCAACATACACAGCATATAACTGAGACATCCTCTGGATTTCCTTAGTCCCTCCATCCAAATGTCAGGATAGTACCTCAGTTAGGCCATGGCCACTTCCTTCCAATTCATCATTCACCGTACTACCCCTGTGATACATAGTCACAATACTGTCAGCATTGTATCAGGGGCAGTCAAATGAAAACGGGTCAGAAGCCAAAACATATTAAAGAACATTTCTTACCTCAAAAGTAATCTCCAAAACTGTTAATAAATTTATCCCACTGAGAGATAGGGCAGTCAATCCCTTTCTTGAAAAAGCTTGTGGGCTGTCTGCGGAACCACATCTTTACCCAGCCACACACATCTTTGTCCGATGCAAACCGATGTCCGTGAATGTCTCTTCAGGTCTCCAAAATTGTGAAAATCACATGGGGAGTTCTGGGCTGTAGGGGGGATGTTGAAGCACTTCCCAACCAAATTCCTGTAGCATATTCCTCACAGAGTTGATAGTGTGGGGGCGTGCATTATCATCAAGAAAGGTAATGCCATTCGATAGCATTCCAGGGCGTTTTTACTTTATGGCATGTCTCAGTTTCTTCAAAGTGTCTTCATAGGGCTGTGCACTGATTGTGGCACCATGCTCGAGAAATTCGACAAGCAGAGGGCCCTTGCAGTCGAAGGTCATCATCATCACTTTACCGGAACTTGTGTGTACTGCTTTGGATTTCTTCGGTGGGGGAGAATTCACGCGTTTCCACTGTTGGCTCTGCCGTTTGCTCTCAGGTTCAAAATGGTGGCACAAGTTTCATCCCCAGTGGCAATGCGGGATAGCAAAGCATACTCTTCGTCATGGTATCGTTGCAAGTGACCCAGTGATGCAGCCATTCTCTCAGTCTTCTGTTCATCCATGAGTTGATGTGGAACCCACTGCGCGCAGATTTTGTGGTATAACAGGTGTTTTGTCACAATGGCGTGTACGGAACCGTGACTTATTCCCATCAAAAGACTAATTTCTTCCACAGTAATCTGTCGGTTTGGCCGGATATGAACATCCAATGCAGCAATAACATCAAGTGTGATGACATGGTGAGCCTGTCCTATGCCAGCATCATCTTGCAGTGACACATGTCCCTCTCAGAGTCTCTTATGCCAAGCCAGCACATGCAAACGTGGCATGCTGTGTTCGCCGTAAACAACAGATATGTGACTATAAATTTCTCGTCCTCCAACTCCTTCAGCAGTCAAAAAGGGCACTACACTTCGCTGTTTTTCTTTACCTGCCTCTATTACTGATGTTGAACGACCACACATAGCGCTAACCTTACTTCCAGCACAATAAACAAACGACTAGTGTGAAGGGCACGTTGTTACTGTGTTTTTCCGAGTGCCCACCAGATGTTCGTACCATAAGCAAATTCCAGTGTTACTAAGTTGCGCGTCGTGTGAGTTATGCGTGGTGACCCACTTTCATTTGAGTGTCCCTTATAAAATAAAAGTGTGTACAGTTAGTCACTGACTGCATGTAATGAAAATGTTGTCTTGTTTGCTTCACTTAACGACAGAGCTGCAGCTGAGCAGAGATGTGTGAATGGTAAGTTGCAAAGGATATGGAAGGCTGTTACCAGACTGTTACTGGTGGTCATGACAAATGCAATGAGTAAACCAAAACATGAAAATATGACAATAAGCAATGCTCCACGTATATTCAAGGGGAGATGGGTATGAATATTCTTGGGAACCTGCTGTCTCCATCTTCAGGGGGACTACCCACAATATCACAACCCATAAGACAGTAATCTACATATTCAGTGTATGTTCAGAAACTGGCCCAACAAGTTGAAGTATGCCTTCAGTGTGATGGCTGTCCCACTGAATTTGCCTATAAACACTTAAAGTTCACATTTTAGTGCAACTTTAGGTTACTTTGTATTTCGGACTTCTTTATACAGGCTCATTATGCCACATATTAGAACAGCTATTCTCAATCTTTTTGGTGTGTGTACCAACATCCACTTCGTAAAAAAACAAATCTAATTTCCAATCTACATTTTAGTATGGATACTCTGAAATTAGAGTTTAACTGAATATACAGATTATTAAAACGACAGCTTCACTACATTCTCTGTTAAGTGGAGCACCTCTGGTCCACACGGTACATACACCTTAGGCATAGACACATGCACTGTCGATAACATAATTACTAAAACCTGTAATAAAATCCACATCTAAAATTTATGTAGGCACATTCAAGTGACTTACGTGGCCGCGCCATAGCTAAATCGGTTAGTCGCTGGCTTCCCACCACGGCGGCCCAGGTTCGATCCCAGGTCTGGTATACCTTGCATAAATTCCATTCAATGTAGTAAATTCATAAATTGTGGATGGTGCCCATGAAGTACAAGTGCCCTTACCCGGTCAATGTGTGAGTGAGGGTAACTGAAAAATTACGGAGCAGCAGTTGTGGCGCCTACTCAGACAGACCTACGCCTCCTCTCATTGAGAGCGTATTTCCAAACACATGAATGGTCTTGCAAAGAAGAAAACTTCAACCATATATCCTGATGGCGACTGAAACCAAGAACAACTTTGCTGGTGAAAACCAGCAGCAATTTAGTGGATTGTGCTGGACAAATGACTTACATAGACTGGACAGCCAAGGGTTCGAATTTTGATTCCAGGTAGGGGTATGAGTTTTCACCAGTCCTGGGACACACCCAGCCTATCCCACTGGTACTGAGGTCTCTTCCAATGGGGGTAAAGGGAACCAGGGTTGTGAAGCTGACCACTCGTCTCTGTCTAGTGCCGAAGTGAAGAATGGTGGGGCTATGCTTCCACCACTCCGTGTTTTCATGGCATGGTGCTTAATTACTTAAGCACATGGACAACTTTACCTTTTCCCTTAACTTACTTGAAGGGTGAATGCCATTCAACCCCACTGTGTCAAAGAGGAAGAGCCATGCTTCTCTGGCCCATCTTGGCTATGTTAGCATATGACATGACATGCAAACAGTAGGAGCACACTGACAGTGAAATGGACACAATCTCCACATCCTTCTGTTCCACACGGTTTATGCAAGTAATATCTATGCCAAAGCAGATATGAGCTCATTAAATGCTGCCCCCCAGCAAGTCTGACCCTGTATCGACTTGTAACCGTACAATGCAAAGGACTACAATGTTTTGTTTACATGTGTCGGTACTTGTCACGACATCGAAGCAGAAGGACCTGAACCCAATTGGCACTAAGGGAAGTCAGCCCTCCTTCCTACCCGAAGGTGGTATGTAATTTGGAAATAGAAAGAGAGAAGCCCAGTTGACACTAAAAGAGGAAGGTATTTTGGGATGAGAGAGAAATTCTAAAGAACTAACAGCTTGAAAGTTTCCTTACGCAGTTCCGAGAAGGTAAAGTTTATGACGGGTCACAATCCCTGGACTTAAACCAAACCAGCCTGACACTCTCCCTACTTTTACAAAGAGCCCTATGTTCTAATAAAAGAGAAATCTGTCCAAAAAGACGCTGGAGAGAACCTTTTGTCAGTCGAGGAAAGGGACCAATTTTCAACACCCGACTGGTCACGGCTGGCAACTGTTTTAGGAATCCGAATATTACCCGCTATCTTGTAGTGGAGACCTTCGGAATACTCTTTAGCGAATTCCCCTTCATTCAAGTTCTAAATATTATACAATAACCTTTTTAGGTGCAGCGTAATGAATGTGACAATTTAGGCCTCAAATTCGTCACGGACCTACCCTTAGAAGACCGTGAGATTGAACCCCCTTGATCCACCCCGGGTCAGAAAGACTGTGAAAGCACGTGAACCCAACTTTCGCCGAGAAACAGATGACCACTGGAGGAATGAGAAACTCTATCGAATCCTCCCCCTTATTGTCTAAATCCAGCCAACCCGGAGATTTGGAGGATGGCAACGAGGCGTTCCTCAAGTTTTCACAGGACCTCTGAATCTTCAAAAACAGAGAGTTATTTCTTTTTCGGAAGTCTCGCAACAACAGTTAAACTTGCAGGATGCGGAGTTAGCCCTCTCGGTCGACGGGTAAGTGAAATTAACGTCTGAGCATTCAAAAGTTAAATCAGCGAAATTTAATATTGGAAAAGAAACGTGAGTGAGTGCGAACTCGTGACCCTCTCAGATACCACACACGCAGTGGTAGCGGAACCTATAAAAGTCCCCAAGTGCTCCATAATAGTGCTAATGGTGCATTGTGACAAGGCTTGCAGGAGTGTGTAACCAAGTAACAACAATCCGTTCATTTTGTAGAATCCGAGCTCTCCCGTACCGAGAGTAGTAAAGTAGCAATCAGAGTTGTATCTCAGTGACTTCAAGATTACAAAAACAATAAAGGAAGTGGTGCCAGGTGTTTGTGTTTCCAGTGTGTTCTTTTCTCCTCGTCGAAGGCCTGAAAACGACCTAAGCCAGAGTCTCACTCTACCCACGACTAGCCCGATCACCATCAGCTCCACACCCCGTCCACCTTTTCCCTTCACTTCGCACCTGTATCCACAGTTGCTGGCGCCCATAGACAATCCAGGCCAAGTCCCGGACCCGAAACCCCTTTCCCATAGTGAAGAGAAGTGGTGGAGTCGGAGAGCGGTGGAGCCAGGTAAAGCCCGACCTAGCTGCAAGCCAAACGACCAATGACGGTAGCGGCGACAACGGCAAGAGAAAGGAATGACAGTAAAAGAATAGCGACCAATCGGTGGGACTTGAAGCCTCACTGAGTGGGACGGTAAAAGACTGTACTGTGCTCACATTATCTCAGTATTCCATTAATTACCAACATACAGCATGATGACATACAGGTACACACATGGCACAACCAGACTTCATTATCATCCAATTCAACAATGAACATTACAGACATGAAACAATTTGATGATGTGACAAGTATATTCGTGCAGCGGTTGCTCTGTATACTCATATCCAAACGCTCCAGTCAATTATTGGTGGAGATATCGGCTGTACCGAATGACTCTTTCCGGGTTATTCTTTAGCACTATGGCAGGAGGAAAACGCTGAGCCGGACAAGGCGGTAAAAAGGAAAGAGTCAACCCCTTCTCGATATACAGCCAATGATTGGGCCACACCGACCCAAAATCATGTCAGAATAGGCGGGCCAATATACCCGGAACACAAAGAATCAGCAAAAAGAGGTTATATAAACCCTAGAAGAATCAATTAAAAACCCTTTTTGCCTTTTGAATATTATTAAGTAACTTAGAGTTCAGCGGGAGGCTATCGCCGAGAGAGAGATGGCCATGAATGGGAGTTGGTTGGTGATGGCGAGCATCTGTTTTCTCATCTCAAGTAAGTGAAACCAACTTCATATAGCCATGAACATTAAGTGCAATAGTGACAATTGTAAAGTGTAAACCCCAGAGAAAGATAGTGCTAACTAGATGGACTAGGTTCATTCAGAGATACAGAGGCGTAGAATACCCGACAGTAGGGTGACAGGAGGTAGAACTAATGAGGTGCTACAGGATTATTATCAAGTGTAATACAACCAACGAGCGTCGGTAAGTGTGTATATAGTATGTATATAGTGACATAGGGAAGTAGAATAGGATAGGAATGTGTGTGATTTTAAATCAACCTAGCATTTCCTAAAGTGTTACCCTCTTCCCTGACAATTCCAGGATCCCCCAAAGCTTCGGCAAATTGCGAGTTAAGCCAGGACAGTGGCATAAGCAATGATAAGTTACTAGTTTTCTTGATATAACAAGATGGTGGCAGCATACTAAACCGGGTGACAGAGCGGGATACTTCCACGCCCCGTCACCACGGCATAATGGTGGTGTAGCGGCGGCATAACAGTGGAGACAGCGGTGAGATAACCAATCCACCCGTCATAAGGGCATAACAGTGGTGGAAGCGGTGGGGATACCTCCACGCCCCCCTCCATGACATAACACAGTACATGAAACCTCTGAATTCCAATTAATAATATTAATGACACTGCCTAATTTTATTAAATATTTCACAATTTCCATCTGCCTCTTTCCCTCTAATGCAAAGGAGACCTAAAGCAAAAAGGAGTGTCTCGGTGCCAAACCACTTCCTTTTCTAATCTCATGACCACTCAGTTTCTCTGCTGATATTCACAATGAAGAGATGTAAGCAATACTTTCATGATCCTTTTACTTAAATTCTCTGTACTACTTTACTTCTCCACAAGCAGAATCATCAAACCTTTATTTAACTTTCTATTTATAATCAATATACGAAGTATACCGCAGAAATATACCTTGTCTGCAATGTCCAAAACAGCTAAATTTGTATTCATCTGACCAATCCTTAACAGTTATCTCAATATACTCAATTCAAGCGATATATCAATCTGAAACTATCTGATCAACAAATTTACTCACATGTAATGGCAGAAGACCACAGATAACACAGCAAAAAGCATATGATGCTGATGAATTATGTGTATAAGCTGTTGATCCATTTCAGTGATTACACTCTACTAATCATGAGCTTCTAATGCTGAATTAACATAACTGCAGGAGAACGTCATGTCATGTAATGTCTGTTTCCACACAACAAGAGAAATCCTTGTGCACATTCATCAGTCAGAATCAAATGGAACTCACTTGCACAGATGTTTTGTACCATGGCACTCAGTTCATTTCACGTCAGTTAGAAAGGTTAGCAACACACATAAACTGCAATATATTGTAGCATTCTACAAAATCGAACCATATACACAGAAAAACTGTCTTACTTACAACATGAAAACTGTGGCATGCTACAACTCACATACGGTTCCTTTAGGCTAAACCCATCTCTACTGCTCTATGATCACTACACACATCAACATGTAAGCGCCGATGTCTCTTCAGACTACTCGGATCACTGAATGACTTTTTACATACATCACAGCAAAATGGCTTCTACCCACTATGTGTGCGTTGGTGTGTCTTCAGACAATTCTGCTGACTGAATGACTTTTTACATATGTCAAAACAAAATGGCTTCTCCTCAATATGTATATGCTGATGTCTCTTCAGATTACTCTGATCACTGAATGACCTTTTACTTACATCACAGCAAAATGGCTTCTCTCCACTATGTATGCATTGGTGTGTCTTCAAATGATTCTGCTGACTGGATAACTTCTTACATACATCAAAACAAAATTGCTTCGCCCCACTATGTTTGTGCTGATGTGTCTTCAGATGACTCTACTTCCTAAATGACTTATTACATACATTAAAACAAAATGTCTCCTCCCCACTATGTATGCGTTGATGTGCCTTCAGAGTACTCTGCACACTGAATGATTTATTACATACATCACAGCAAAATGGCTTTTCGCCACTATGTATGCGTTGATGTATCTTAAATTGATTCTGCCAGGTGAATGACTTATTACACAAGATGCAACAAAATAGCTTCTCCCCACTACGTATGCGTCGATGTGTCTTCAGATGACTCTGCTGACTGGATGACTTATTACATACATCACAGCAAAATGGCTTCTCCCAACTATGTATGCGTTGATATGTCTTCAGATTACTCTGCTGACTGAATGACTTATTACATACATCACAGCAAAATGGCTACTCGCCACTATATACGCGCTGATGTCTTTTCAAATGACTCTGTTGACTGAATGACTTATTGATGACATGTCATCTTTTTTTCCCTGTATCCTACACGATGCTCTTAAATATATAAATTTCGGATATGAGTTGCTGGTTACAGAAAAGTATTTATTATTATTATTATTATTATTATAGGGGGTGGGTTTCCCCATGCACCGCGACCAGTTGTTGATCTATTCTACGTCCCCTTTTGATATTCTACCAGTCGCCATACAATACCGGTACTGGTGCTTGCTATCAGCCCCGCTCAGCCAGTGAATTCGGCCTCTACTGGCTCAACGGTACCTGATGCTTCCCCCATCTACCAGAGGCATTGGAAACTACTTTGGGTGGGAAACTTGTCTCCTAGACATGAGGATCTTTTATGTGCCGAAAATCTATGACACGGGACCCACGGCTTAAAGTCCCTCCCGGAGGACTTGTTCCCTGAAATTTTTTCCACATATCTTGAGCCAT